GGACGCGCAGGCTCAGCGGCCATGGCTCACGGGCCCAGCCGCTCCGCGGCATGTGGGATCTTCCCGGACCGGGGCATGAACCCGTGTCCCCTGCATCGGCAGGCGGACTCTCAACCCCTGCACCACCAGGGAAGCCCTACTTTTTTTATATATATATTTCTGTTTCCTCCAGTTTTATTGAGATATAATTGACATACAGCACTGTATAAGTTTAAGGTGTACAGCATAATGATTCGACTTACAAACATCATGAAATGAACCACAATAGGTTTAGTGAACATCCATCATCTCACAGATACAAAAGAAAAGAAAAAGAAAAAAATATTTTTCCCTTGTGATGAGAACTCTTAGGATTTACTCTTAACAACTTTCATATACAACATAGAGCAGTGTTAATTAAATTTATCATGTTGTACATTACATCCCTAGTGCTTATTTATCTTACAACTGGAAGTTTGTACCTTTTACCACCTTCCTCCAATTCCCCCTCCCCCCCACTCCCAATTAGTTGCCACCTCAATAGGACGTTTTTTTAAAATATTTTTTAAAATTATTTATTTATTTATTTATTTTTGGCTGCATTGGGTCTTCGTTGCAGTGCACGGGCTTCTAATTGCGGCAGCTTCTCTTGTTGTGGAGCATGGGCTCTAAGCGTGCTGGTCAGTAGTTGTAGCACGCTGGCTTCACTAGTTGTGGCATGCAGGCTCATTAGTTGTGTCTCACAGGCTCTAGAACGCAGGCTCAGTAGTTGTGGTGTACGGGCTTAGTTGCTCTGCGGCATGTGGGATCTTCCTGGACCAGGGCTTGAACGCGTGTCCCCTGCATTGGCAGGTGGATTCTTCACCACTGTGCCAACCAGGGAAGTCCCTCCATAAGGCTTTTATAGCGTTCAGTTTTAATTCACATAGTTAATATCCTTACCACACAAAGAGCACTTTCAAATCAATAAGAACAGTTCTTTTTTTAAATTGAAATTTAGTTGATTTACAATATTAGTTTCAGGTATGTAACATAGTGATTTAATATTTTTATATAGCCTATACTCCATTTAAAGTTATTATAAAATATTGGCTATATTCCCTGTGCTGTACAATATAACCTTGTAGCTTATTTATTTTATACATAGTATCAATAGTTTGTACCACTTAATAAGAGCAGGTCTTATTTCTCTTTAAGAACAGAAATAAATAGAAAAAATGGACAAAAAATAAGTGATAATTCAAAAAGAAATATAAATGGCCAGTAAACATGGGGGGAAAGTAAGCTGCATTTGTGATCATAGAAATGTAACTGAAATGGGACTTCCCTGGTGGTCCAGTGGTTAAGACTTCGCTTTCCAACGTAGGGGGTGCAGGTTCAATTCCTGGTCGGGGAGCTAAGATCCCACAGGTCTCGCAGCCAAAAAACCAAAACATAAAACAGAACTAATATTGTAACAGATTCAATAAAGACTTTAAAAGTGGTCCACATCCAAAAAATCTTTTAAGAAAAAGAAAGAAAGAAATGTAACTGGAAATGAGTCCTTTCCCACCTCTCACGGGAAATGTTCTAGTTATAATAGTGCGTAATGCTGGTGAAGACACAGTGAAGTGGGCCTCCCCCATCCTGCGGAGCACACGTTGGCCTGATGTTTCGGGAGTACAGCCTGGCAATATGGACCCAAACCCACTGACCCAGTAATTCTGCCGCTTGGAATTTGTCTTCAGGATAATCAGAGAAACACAGAAAGATAGTCTCTGTAGCTTTATTAATGTTCTAAACTTGGTAATAACCTAAATGTCTAATGAGGTTAAATTATGATATAATCAGGTAACAGTGAAGTTTGTGAAAATTAGTTAGGACATGTCAAATTGCTTCAGAGGTAAGAGCAAAAACACAAAAATTAACTGGCCTAGTATCTTCCTAGTTTTATGATACATAGATAGCTAGACCCTTAGAGGCATATATATGCATCCGAAAAAACCGTCTACCAGTGATATTACAATGGATTTAAAATATCAGTTTCCACATTTTCTACCATGAACATGTATTACTTTTTTTTTAACTGGGGAAAAACAAGCACCCAATAAACGACATCTCGTAAAGAAACCTAATAAATATTTTAGATTTGGAGGGCCATATGGTCTGTGACAGAACTACCCAACTCTGCCACTGTTGCTCAAAAGCCACCAGAAACAATTCATAGGTGAATAAATGTGGCGTTGCTCCAATAAAACTGTACTTATGGATACAGAAATTTGAATTTTATGGAGTTTTTACATGTCACAAAAGTATTCTTTTTTTGATTTTTTTTCCGGCTGTTTAAAAATGTAAAGCCATTCTTAGCTCATGGGTCATACAAAAACGGGCAATGAGTGGGCGACATTTCAAATGAGAGGTGGGAAAGGACTCATTTAAATTACGTTTCTGTGATCGAAAATGTAGCCTGTTTCTTTAATCAAATTCCTCCCAAGAGATCCTCACAAGAGCCTCTCCAACTCTGGAGCTTTTGTATTTTTCCCTCCTGCTGCAGATTATTTTGAAAACAATCTTCCAGGAGTCCTGATGACACCTGAACCCCCGCCGCCAGCATGCACCCCGACTTGTGAAACTTCTCCCAAGAGCCCGACTGCTTCCCATTCTTGCCGGCCTCAGTTTTCCCTGTGCCCAGCAGCGCCTCTGTTTGTCCACCCACCCTGGCCAGGGTCCATTCCCCTCACTGCTCTGAACACGAGTACAAATCTCCATGGCCTGCCCCTGGCCTGGATCGAGCGGGTTCCAGGGAAGGTCTGGCCCAGATCCACACCATGTGTGATACCCAGAGTCTGGCCTACAGTCTGCTGAGAGGGTGAAACAAAAGTGACAACTCCGAACCAGAATGAAGAGTAAGAGCTCCCCAAACCAGCTTTTGTTCTGTGTTTTTGTTTCACTCCTTTGTCTACTCTGTCCTGGGCTCCACCTGACGTCTGGATTCGTCCCGGAAAGCCCTGGGATTTTTTCCTTGGGGTTAACACCTTGACTGACAGGACAGTGACATCCACAGGTAGAACACACTTCCTCTGCCACTCCCCCCCACACACAGGGGTGTGTGTGCATTCAGTTCCCAAGGAGCCAGCTGGGTCCACCCACCATCCACCACACCCCTCTCTCGCCCACTCTGAATAGCTAGCAGTTCAAGAATGATTGATTATAGAGAAAATAGGTAATAGCCTAAATATTCATCAGTAGGGAGTAAGTACATCTGAGCAGCCGACCATCGTTAGAAAGAGGTCTGTGGTTTTTGTTTTTTGTTTCTTTTGCGGTACACGGGCCTCTCACTGTTGTGGCCTCTCCTGTTGCGGAGCACAGGCTCCGGACTCGCAGGCTCAGCAGCCATGGCTCACGGGCCCAGCTGCTCCGCGGCATTGGGATCTTCCTGGACCGGGGCCGGAACGTGCGTCGCCTGCATCGGCAGGCGGACTCTCAGCCACTGCGCCACCAGGGAAGTCCGAGGTCTGTGTTTATAACGGGGGACATCTCCAAGACATACTATTACCTGACAAAGAGCAAGATGCTCAACGATACAATATAGTACCATCTCAACAGCATTACCTAATACTCACAAAATGACATGTTTCTGTGTGTGCACACGAGTGTGTGAATGCAGAGAAAAAGTTTGGAGAGGCTCCACACCTAACACCTCTGCTCCGCTCTGGGGAGGGAAGTGGCATCGGGAACATGAGGAGGGGGTGTTTTGGCTTTATCTGGATTATTTGGATCTTTTAGGATAAGAATGTAATGAGGCAAAAAACCCCTAATGGGACCTAATTACATTTAAAAGCTTTTGCACAGCAAAGAAAACCATCAACAAAATGAAAAGACGACCTACTGAATGGGAGAAAATATTTGTAAATGATATGATGGGTAAGAGGTTAATATCCAAAATATATAAACAGCTCATACAACTCAACATCATAAAGACAAGCCTATTAAAAAATGCGCAGAAGAACTGAATAGACATTTTTCCAAAGAATATATACAGAGGGCCAACAGGCACATGAAAAGATGCTCAACATCACTAATCATCAGGGAAATGCAAATCAAAACCACAGTGAGGTATCACCTCACACCTGTCAGGATGGCCATCATCAAAAAGACCACAAACAAATGTTGGCAAGGATGTGGAGAAAAGGGAATCCTCCTACACTGTTGGTGGGAATGTGAATTGGTACAGCAACTGTGGAAAACAGTATGGAGGTTCCTCAAAAAACTGAAAATAGAACTACCATATGACCCAGCAATTCCACTCCTGGAAATATACCTGAAGCAAATGAAAACATTAATTCGAAAAGATACATGCACCCCAATGTTCACAACAGCATTATTTACAATTGCCAAGATATGGAAGCGACCTAAGTGTCCGACAACAGATGACTGGATAAAGAAGATGTGATATGTACACACACACACACACATATAGACAGAATGGAATACTACTCAGCTATAAAAAAAGAACATAGATGGACTTGGACTACTCAGCAACATAGATGGACTTGGAGGGCATAAGTGAAATGAGTCAGAGGAAGACAAATACTGTGTGTTATCACTTATCTGTGGAATCTAAACAGTAAAACAAATTAGTGAGTATAACAAAAAGTAAACAGACTCACAGATCTAGAGAACAACCTAGTGGTTACCAGTGGGGAGAAGGACGTTGGGAGGGGCAAGATAGGGGCAGGAGATTAAGAGGTATAAACTATTATGTATAAAACAAATAAGCTGGGGCTTCCCTGGTGGCGCAGTGGTTGAGAGTCCGCCTGCCGATGCAGGGGACACGGGTTCGTGCCCCGGTCCGGGAAGTTCCCACATGCTGTGGAGCGGCTGGGCCCGTGAGCCATGGCCGCTGAGCCTGCGTGTCCGGAGCCCGTGCTCCGCAACGGGAGAGGCCACAGCAGGGAGAGGCCCGCGTACCGCAAAAAAACCCAAAACAACAAAGACCCAACGCAGGCAAAAATAGATCATTGGAAAAAAAAAAAAAAGCCTTATGGAAAAGACCTAAGCAGCTGAAGTTTTCAGTAAAATAAAAATTTAAATGGTAAAAGTTGGAATATGTTGGTGCCAAATAGAAAATGAATCACAGAAATACGTTGACTTGATGGTGTTTGATCCAGAAGATATATTTATTTATTTATTTATTTATTTATTGGCCACACTACCAGGGATTGAACCTGTGCCCTCGGCAGTGAAAGCACAGAGTCCTAACCACTTGACTGTGAGAGAATTCCCTGGAAGATATATATTTTTATACAGATGCTATCAGTATAATAGAACTCTGATTAAAATATCCTAGGATGAAAAAGGCAGGGTCAACATCCACCCAGACAAGATGGCGGAGGAAACCGTGTCCTGGTCTGATGATTGTGAGGACAGGTTGGCAATATTAAAAAATGTTGAAAGACACACGCACACTTTCCCAGCAATCCTGCTTGCAGATGTTTATGCTACAGGCATAGTTGCACATGTTTGTGTGTCTGTTTGCTGTAGTACAATTCATAATAGCAAAAAAAAAAAAAAATTGGAGATACCCAATGGGAAATTGGTTAATTGGAATTAGGGTAGACCATCCAATAAACACCATGCAGATATTATAAAACATGTTGAGATCTCTAGGTGCTGATAAAGCTGAGATGTGCTGTTACCTGAAAAGACAGGATGCCAAGTGGTGTATGAACACCCACACACACACACACACATCTGGAAGTATACATAGAAACTGCTGAAAAGTTTCTGCTAGAGGTCTTTGGGGAGAGGAAGACTTCCTTCCCATTGCATGATTTTTGCTTTTACAGCATTGATGTGTCACTCTTACAGTAGAGGAAAAATGTGTTCACAAAAGTTTTGGTGAGACTAGATGGCCATAAGGTAATATCTAGCATTGATGTTTTATGATCTCAAAACAGTTTTGTCTGATCATCACAGTATCCATCAGGATTTGTTGCCAACTATTTGAAAATCCAGAAAGTTCACATAAAAATGCAAACTTGAAAAAAAAAATGCAGACTTGCCTTTGTGATAAATATATTTTTGGTCTTTGTCCCCGATTCCTGGCACACAGCTCCTAAAAAACCTTTGGAATGTCCAGAGTGATAGGAGCGTCTTTTGTTCTAATGAGCAACCCCTAGATGCTTCTGGCTGGGGCTGGTGGCCAGAAAGACCAAGCCTTCATTAGAAGCTTGGAGCTTTCAGCCTCACCCTCCCAATCTTCAGAGAGTGGAGAGGAGCTGGTGATTCAATTAATCACCAAAGGCCAATGATTTGATCAACCAAGCCTGTGAAACCTCTATAAAAACCACTTAAAGTCAGGTTCATAGAGCTGGAAGGCTGGGGCGTCTGCATGAGGCTAGGCACCAGCTACACAGGCCTGCTCTGAACCCAGTCTGGCTGTGCCTACAGGCAGGTGCCTGCTCCCTGGGCTCTCATTTCTATCATCCAGGTGGATTGTCCTTAGGCTGTTCACTTCCTGGAGTCACATAATAATCCCACCTCCCTGATAGGACACCCAGGTCTCCTGGCTGGAGGGCAGTGGGCATTGTTTCCACACATTGCTTCACCTCTGTTGACCCCCACCCGCACGTCTGTTTGGGGCAGGGACTTAGAAGGGATATTTAACTCCTGAGGAATTCTGGTGGAAAAGGAAGAACAAAGCTCCAAGGGTCAATTTCTGGACTTCCAGGAAGCTTCAGTGAAAAGACTTGATAAAAGAGACGAGTGAACAGCTCACTCCAGCGAGGGTGGAGGTTTAGCTGTGTACTTCATCTATGTGAAATCTTTCCCCTGGAGGATGGATGCGTGGCCTCTAGATGGACGTGCCTCAGCACATGTTCCAACCCGGACGGCACAAGGGCTGGCTGAGGAAGCTGGCACTAGGAGGTTCCAGGAGTGGGGTACCCACAAAAACAGTAACAGTTTGCACGCTGAAAGGGCTTAATCCATTTGTGCTCGGCAGGTGCCACTCCATGAAACTATCACGGGGACTTCGGCCCATCCTCCACTCCTCTTCCTACCACTGTTTTCAAGTAGCTGGGATGGGAGTAAGCACGGGGCGGGGTTGGGTCGGTGCCGGGTGAGCAGAAGCAGAGACATGTGGCGGGAGGACTACAACTCCCAGCATACCTCGCGCCGACCAGCTTCCCATTTCCCAGAAGTCCGCGGGCGGCGCGTTCCCGACATGCCCCGCGGCGGCCGACAACCGCCGGATTTGAATCGCGGCACCGCTCGGCGGCGGCGGGATGAGTATCCCGTCGTTGCCCCCGGCCTGGCAGCTCTACCTCAAGGACCATCGTGTCTCCACATTTAAGAACTGGCCCTTCTTGGAGGGCTGCGCCTGCACCCCGGAGCGAGTGAGTCCTCACGGCCTCCCGGAGCCCCCAGGCCCGCCCCGCCCCCAGAGCCCCGCCCCAGGCCCTGAGGCGACCCCTCCCGCGGGCCCTGGCCCCTCTGTGGGCCCCCGGGGCCACCCCTCCCGCGCGCTCTGGTCCCTCTGTGGGTTCCCGGGCCCCTGGGGCGACCCCTTCTGCGGTCTCTAGCCCCTCTGTGGCCTCCCGGATCTCGGGGGAACCCCTCCGCTCTGGGACCTGAGCCGAGCTCTCCTTTGCAGATGGCCGCGGCCGGCTTCATCCACTGTCCAACTGAGAACGAGCCCGACTTGGCTCAGTGTTTCTTCTGCTTCAAGGAGTTGGAAGGCTGGGAGCCAGATGACGACCCTATGTAAGTCCCTCAGGCCAGCCTCGCTGGGCTTCCGGGGTTCCCCAGTTCCATCAGGACCGTTTGGGGTTTTTTTGTGTGTTTTTGTTTGTTTTTTTACATCTTTATTGGAGTATAATTGCTTTACAATGGTGTGTTAGTTTCTGCTTTATAACAGAGTGAATCAGTTATACATATACATACGTTCCCATATCTCTTGCCTCTTGCGTCTCCCTATCCCACCCCTCCAGGCGGTCACAAAGCACCGAGCTGATCTCCCTGTGCTATGCGGCGGCTTCCCACTAGCTATCTACCTTATGTTTGGTAGTGTATATATGTCCATAGGACCGTTTGTTTTGAGTTGGGCTCCCCCCAAAACATCTGAATTTCGAAGTATTATTGAAGGACCTGCGGCTTTCCAACCTCGTTTGTGCCCTAAACAGCTGCTGTAAAGGATGAGTCTCCGCTGGTACCTTGGTGATGCTTTCAACCTAATCAAATCTGATTTGGCCGAATGCCCTCCTGGATTTGTTTTTGGCTGCGTTGGGTCTTCGTTGCTGCACGCGGGCTTTCTCTAGTTGCGTCAAGCGGTGGCTACTCTCTGTTGCGGTGAGGGCTTCTCATTGCGGTGGCTTCTCTTGTTGCAGAGCACAGGCTCTAGGCGCACGGGCTTCTGTAGTTGTGGCACGCGGGCTCAGTAGTTGTGGCTCGTGGGCTCAGTAGTTGTGGCACGTGGGCCTCAGTAGTTGTGGCATGTGGGCCTCAGTAGTTGTGGCTCACGGGCTCTAGAGCACAGGCTCAGTAGTTGTGCGACACGGGCTTAGATGTTCCGCGGCATGTGGGATCTTCTGGGACCAGGGCTCAAATCCATGGCCCCTGCACTGGCAGGCGGATTCTTTTTT